TGTTTGTTTTTATGGTATATATAACATTTCAAAATTAGAATTTAATGGTTCCAATTTTACTAAGTTACAGTATACTGTTTAAACATTGTATTTTACCACTGTATTGTGTAACAGGGACATCGTAAAATGTTGTGACCCGTAAACATTTTAGTAATAGTTTATAAAGGTTTTTGGCTAAATTTGGTGCAAAGTTATATACACTAAATAATTTATTCAAATTTTTAAGTTAATTTTTTAACGAAGAATTGGAAGGCTAGTATATCACTGTTAAAAAACCTATAATAATAGTAAAAATAAATTATATAAATAAAATATATATTATTCTTGATTTATTCTAAATACATTTAAAACACGAATACATATATGTATAAATAATTTTCAGAGGTAAAGTAATATCAAGGATAGAAAACCCAAAAACAATAATAATAGTACATTGGGCCGCAATAATCTTTAGTTTAATAAATAAGTCATTAGATTTGTAGACTATTTTTGTTTCCAATCATCATAATTTTAAATATTTCCTATTCATGTTTCCAAGCATTTCACTTTTTGTACTTCAGCTTTAATAGTATAGATTCATGTTTTCAAACGCTTAACTTTTTGTACTTCAGCTTTAATAGTATAGATATGATTATTTTGACGAAAAAGATGATTACTGATTTTAGAGTATATATTCTAACAACAACATCAATTAATAAAAAACTAGTTTATTAAATATGTATTGAAAATTATGTAAGTCTTTCGAATTTGAGTGTTAATTTTGCATAATATAAATATTTATGTTATGGATTTTTCATATAGATACAAGTGTAATAGTATCCAAACTATCATTTGAACGATGACAAAAAAATACATTATTTGAACATTTACATCCCGATGAAACATTCATCGTAAAAAAATAAATAAACGAGGCCTCGGTGCGTTTAAGCTCAGTTTACCATTTTTCTTGAAGTCTTGTCTACACAGAAATCTTGGCAATGTCTTCAGTCTACAAAAAAAAACAGCTTATTTCCTATGGAAAAATTTGTCGAAATACATCATTTTCAACGAATTTTCAAACGAAAAATTCCATAGGAAAAGCAAAATTCGTCGGAATTTCTTCGAATGGTCTGACTAATTTCCAAAATAATCCTAACAGATAAATTTCAGAAGGAATTCCGACGAAATTATTTTTGACAAAATTGTGATGAACAAATTTCTGATGAATTTCGACGAAATTAATTTCGGCGAAATTTCAATGGAAAAATTCCGAAAGAATTCTAGCGGATAATTCATTCATTTAAAAAACATAAAACATTAAAATTAATTAATAAGTTATAATAAAATAAAATTTAATTTTTTTATAATGAATTCTTTTAATTCATTATATATAATATTAAAACATTTAATTTACAAAACTTTATAATTAAATATTTTTAAAACACTTATAAAAATCTCGAAAGCAAATTTCAAGATTTTGGTAAATTAAAAACATTTGTAAAGAAGTGAAAAAAAATATTTCTAGAGAAGTGACTCAACATTTTCATAAATTTTTAAAAAGTTAAAACTTTATATGAATTCAAAATATTTTAATAGAAAGAAAAAATATTTTTATAAACAAAAAAACTTTTTGTAATTGAAAATGTTTCCAATAAATTGTAAAAAATATTAAATAGGAAAAAAACATAAACACTTTTTATAAAATGAAAAGGTTTTTAAAAAGTGATTTTTTTAATTTTAAAAACATAAAAAAAATTTCTAAATTACAACAAACTAAAACTTTTTATAAAATTTTTAAAACGTTTAGTAAATGCTTTAAGCATTTTATAAAATCATAAAAACGTTTTAAAACAACAGAAAATTATAAAACATCAAAAACATAAAACAAATTTTCAAATCTTAAATCTAACATGTAAAATCCTAAAACTAACGATTCTAACACAAATATAACCTATTTAATCCTAAATTAACCAACCTAACTCATTTCTAACATTACAATCCCTAAAATATATCAATTCTAACCTAACACATATACAAACTAACATATATGATTATTGAGAGGATAATAAATGACTAACATGAATTAATGGGAGTTTTGAAGAAAGATTTAGGGATGTTATTCGTTGGTCTTCGAATGAGAGAGAGCTTAGAGAAAGAGAGAGTTGAAATGAAGAAGGATAAATTTTTTTCTGTTTTATTTTAAAAATTCCGACGGAATAAGTTTGTTGGAAATCTGTCAGAATTATTTTATTTTCGATTTTTTCAAAAAAAAAAATAAAACGTAGTTTTCCTGGGAAGATTTTAATTCCCGGGAAAAATTCACCAGAATTTACCAATTTCGTCAAAATTTGCCGAAATTCACCAATTTTGTCAGAAATTCGTTAGAACGAATTTCTGACAACTTATGTATTAGAGTTTCTAGACATAAAAAATAGTTTGGTAACAGCCATTGATGATAAATTAATGATTTTTAGAGGTTTACAATGTTCAAAATGTTTTAAACTCTTGAAAACACACAAATTTAAGATTGTACGATGGATTACTCTAAAGTATTTGTTTAAGTATATAAGTTTTAATGAGAAATGTTATGTATCCGTCGATGCATATTGTATAGTTTTAAATAATTGAGGTATTATTAACTCACATCATATTTGTCTCTTTAATATATGTTATGGTAATTTTGCAGGTAATCGCTTTAACATTTATTTTAAATATTTCATACCTAAAACAATTTGTTTATCGAAAAGTCATCAGAATTTCGTAGAAAATTTCTCACGAAAGTCCTACGAAATTACAGTTTTTCAGAAATTCAACAGAAATTTACGACGAAAACATAAACCCCAAAACTATACCCTAAAGCGTTTAATCTTCCTCGGAAATCTACAGTATTTCATCAATTAATTCTGATAAAAAATAATTAATCGAAAATTCTTACGATATTTCTGATAAAACAGCGATGAATAGTAAAAATTTATATTTATCAAGAAGTTCCTCAGAAAATTCTGACTTATATTTTTCATAAGAAATTACTATGTTTTTTGTAGTGAGTATTAGTAGTACGAACTCAGCAAAATATATAAATTATTGACTTAATGTACCAAACTGATTAGAACAATACATGTATCATAAATGTAAGTTACACACTGACGAATGGCGATACATAGTTTTCAGAATTATGCTCTGGCAAGGCATAAATTAAAATACTTAAATTGAGGAAATGGAAGACATATAAAGCGTCGCTCTGGCAAGCCACTAACTAAAGATTTTGAGGAAACGGGAGACATAAGCGTCGATTGTTCACAAGAAAGAAAATAAGATATCGATAATTTCAAAACCTGGGATTATATTTAAAAAATAAACCTAGGACTTCTCTGGTTAACACGTCTAGGGCTGGGCAAATAAACCGAACCCGAAAACCCGAACCGAACCCGATCCGATAAAAATGAATCCGAACCGATCCGAACCCGATTTAAATACCGAATGGATCTTGTTTTGTGGTATTTCGGATTATGGGTATTATCCGAACCGAACCCGAAATTAAATGGATATCCGATAGAACCCGAAACATTCAAATTTTTTAATAAGAACATGTACTGAACATGATCTTAATTCCTAATATAAATCCAAAATATTTTAAGATATTACTAAACATATAAATAATTATCTATTACATGAAGGTTGATGGTTGAAGGTGGCGGTTGAAACTTGAAATTTTTAGATTAATGTTTTGTTATTACTGAATAATGTTTCTCATTTTTTAAGAACTTGATTTTCGTTTACGCTTTCATTTATTTGGTTTTCTTTCTATTAATAACTATGTTTACCTTTTAGTTGATTTTGAATGATTAAGTTTTATGTTTTTTTCTTATTTTCGAATCAATTTTACTTATGTTTTGGTTACAAAATAGTTACACATTAGGTATTTTAAATCCGAAGAACCGATTTTACTTATGTTTTGGTTAAAAAGTAGGTACAAATCAAGTATTTTTAAACCAAAGAACCGATTGGGACCCGAATCCGAAAGTATAACGGATTGTACCGGTTCTTTAAAGATTTACTAACCCCGACCCGAATCCGATAGAACCCGAACCGATCCCGAACCGAACTTTCAAATAATCCGAATGGGGCTGATTTTGATAAACCCGAAGAACCGAGACCCGATTGGACAAAACCGAAACCCGAATGGGATCCCGAATGCCCATGCCTAAACACGTCATTGGTAAAAAAGAAAACGAGCATCCTTTGAAGTTGCGTGAAAGGAACAAGTCCGAACTAGTACATGTCTATTTGTTGGTTTAATGGCCAATTTAATTCGACCAAAAAGACCTTTTTTTTTTTTTTTTTTTGAAACAACAATTTATTAAAATTAAACTGCTAAAAGACCTATTTTTTTATAAAAAAAAAAACAAAAATCTGTTAAAATAGTATTGTTTTATCTATTATGTACACATTATGGAAAAGACCATAAAAGATTCGTCCACCTGCATGGCGATGGAGGGTGACAACGCAACACAAGAGCCAGCCTCAGAAGATATAGAACGTAAAAGCAAACATGTTCCTTCAGTTGTCTACCTGTGAACTAAATGCCCATACGCAAAATCCAGGTTTTAAACCTTGCTGATTGCCGAAAATCAGCAACGCAAGAAAACAAAAATATCCAAGAGACTGGATACATATTAAACAATAACGATCTTGAATCTTGAAAATATCTAAGATGAAACATAAGTGTTTTGTTTTCGAATAAAATATATATATATATATATATATATATATATCTTTTGACTATTACATATTGAAACAAACGTCAAAATAGTTCGGCCACCCAAGAGCCAGCCTCGGAAGGGAGAACGTAGAAGCAACCCGTTCGTTCATTTGTCTACCTGTTAAACCACAAGCCCACATATATTATCTATTCATTCCGGCTACTATAGATACACACAACAACCAATAACAAAAAAAAAACCTCGTTGATTGGAAAAGATCATTATCCGCAAACTTTAAAAAAAAAAAAAAAGTGAGACATGGAGGAAGAAATCAAGAGATTTGTCCTAGTATACATTTCCGCAATAATTTCCGTAAGTTATTGTTACTACATACCGTCCAGAATCAAAGCTGGTGTTCCTCGATTACTCTCGATTCTTCCCGTATGTGTTCAGTTCTTTGTTTTTCCCATGCTCTTCTACTCTGCGTTGTTCACTTCCACCATAATGTTTACCCTAACAGGGATGGGAACTTTAAAGCTCCTTCTCTTTGCATTTGATAAAGGTCCTCTTTTCCCAATTCCCACAAGTCTTTTCAGATTTATGTGCTTCACTTTCTTTCCCATCGAGAGACTACGCAAAAACCCTAAATCTCAATCTACTTTCCCCACTTGGGTTTTCTCCACTAAAGTTGCAATATGTGCAGTGATGTCAATGTTACACGTCCAAGGATACAAACATAATCTTCCCACGGTTCTGTTATGGGTTCTATATCCTCTATATATGTACTTGCCACTTGATATTATATTTAACATCATGAGATTTCTGTTCACTATCATTCTTGGGTGCGATCTTGAGCCAGTATTTGATGAACCTTACTTAGCCACCTCTCTTCAAGACTTCTGGGGTCGCAGGTGGAATCTAATGGTGTCATCTGTCCTCCGGTCAGCTTTCTACCTTCCTCTGGTGGGTAAATCCAACTCTGGTTTGGTTATGTTTATAGGGAGTTTTACAACGTTCGTAGCCTCTGGGCTGTTTCATGAACTTCTATACTTCTACACTAGCCATGAAACGCCTTCGGGGGAGATCACTTTGTTTTATGTGTTACATGGGGTTTGTACTGCGATAGAAATGGTGTTGAAAAGGTCAACGTTTGGGCAGCGTTGGGCAGTGAGACCAGTGGTGTCTCGGCTGCTTACAATGACATTTATGATTGTGACCAGTGGTTGGCTCTATTTCCCTCAAATTACAAGGGGAAATGAGATATGCCATTATATTACCGAATATTTTATTGTTTCGTGAAATTATGAAATAAGAAAACTAAATAAATACTTATATTATAGTATATGTATGTGTTTTTTAATATTGAAAAATGAATAAGTTGTGTTAGGGGTTGATTGGTAAGGACTGTAACTTTATGTTTTTAGCTGTAGAAATTAATCGATAGATTTATTTGCTGTAGTTTCTTTTGCTTTGCTGTAGTTTCTAAAACACTAATTTTTTGCTTTAAAAACAAAGTTCTCTATAGCTATTTTTATTTTTTTAGAGACTTTTTTAATGTAGGTTTTTTAAGGAAATGAAAGCTTGATTGATTGAGGTATATGATTCTAAACTAAATTTTGACTTTCTAAAGCATCTACAGCAACAACCAATCACCTCCTTAATCTCTTATTCCTACCCCGTGAATAAAATCCGTTTGATTTATAGATTTTATTTTCTGGTGATAGTAGGCAATTTCAGAATAATATATTGTTCTATCCAGATCATATCATGATGGGAATGACTTGGATTGGTTTCTCATGTTGAATCTTGAATGTATGGTAGAAAGCCCATTGCCTCTTATTAGCCCATAATGTTCACTTTTAGTTCTTGGGTAACGACTTCAAGCATGACAAAAGATACTCAAACCACCTAGTACAACTTTTTGAAAAGAACAATATTTGATTTAACGAAAACATAAGGGATAATATCGAATTAATTTGTTATATCGATCATAGAATTCGATATTAGTTGTTCTTTTGTACATTCTAAATTATATTTGCAGCGCACAAACTTAAATTGTATTTGTTGGCTAAAGATTTTGTTTCTGTAGCATGGATTCAAACTCCAAATGGTACATTTTTAGCAGATAAGTTAAATTCATCAAAGGCTGTGCCGCTGTAATATGTACTAGTTAAGTCATCCCTTTTAGGCTATATGTATTGTTGTAGGAATGATCATTTACACATTTAAATGTACGTCGAGAATCTCGAGATATTTTAATATAGACACAATTGAACGTAAAAATGATTACAGCCTTCATAGGACAACTTTTATAAACCAACCTTATAGGCCGGGGGTATTTATGATGTTCTATAAGCTGGGAAAATAGTAACGTTGTGGTACCTATAGTACAACTATTTAAACTCAAATTAGATTGCTGCAATATGGTGAGGGAACTAAGAACAGAAATGTGAGATAACATAACCGAAAAAGTAGTTGGAAGGTTAGTTCAGTCAATGAAAAGGAAGAAGAAGCAAGAGCAAACATGTTAAGTGCATGGGAATAGCACGCGAATGGTACGTGAAAATATGAAATTAAAGGACATCATTTAATTTCTTTGGCCCTTCTATTAATGTTATTTATCAATGCGTCTCTGCCAGTTTTCATGAGACACTGTCACATTCGCATTCTATACCATATGTTTTTTCTTACTATATATTCTAAAAATGCTTAGGCATCGAATATTTGTACCTTTTAAATGCAAATGTAGACAATGCGTATATATAATAACATTCACAAATACATATATGTATTTTGATTGTATAATTATATTTATACTTCAATGTCGGTGGAGTTTGATAAGGTAGTGGTAGTGGAAAAAACGTTTGAAAATATTTACAGAAAGTTTGAAAACGAATCCAGTTTCATTATGATTCTTCTATGTTTACTCTCTGTAGGTCGACTAGTTATTGTGTACCATCCACCCAAACCTATATTTATTGTGTAGATTAGAAGTAGGGAAAATTGGAAAATTGAAAAATTGAGACACTTTGAACTTTTATTTGTCCTTATAAGACTTCTCATACTTTTGGCAATTCTAGACATGTTTTACTCTTTATTAATGAAAAAAATAGTAAACTAATTTTGAAAAATAGAAAAAAATATGAGAAGGCTAGAAAACATAAGTATGACAACATATATGTTTAAGTTTTTATTTTTTAAAAGTCGAATCATATTTTATTTTATCTTCTAGCTACAGATAGAATACTCGTTCTGGTTATCTACTCAGTTTATAAATCATATACTGGGTGTTCTTGCTAGATAGACCTGAAGTATGAAACGTAATATAACATTTCTTGTTTACTCTAACTAAGGTAGTATTGGTAACATTATAGTCAAGGCCTATGTCTTTGGTGTACGTGAAGCTAGATACCGATTTATAACCATTACTTATTGATATACCTATCCAGATTTTGTGCCATAACCAATTCAGCATGTTATCTTATGTGACGCTTGAGAAATAATATGTTTCCTACCTTTTCTAATGTGTTCTACCTTAGGTAGTATACATATTCTAGGTAATCCGCAAAATATGGAAACTTCCATATTCGGTTGAAGATGTTTCCTAAATATCTTAGAGAATATTTTGTCCACGATTTTCTCTCTTCTTCACGGGATCGATCGATCCCAGAAAGAGTCAGTCGATCCCGACAAACGATCTCGATGATTAAACAAAAACATAAAAAACACGGAGTAGAAACTGATTGACATTGTCCAGTTCAGTCGATCTTCACCGATCAATCTACATAGATCGATCGATCTATATTTTAGATTGATCGATCCCGATCCCAGATAATAGAACCGAACCGAAAATAACCAAATATTTCTCTTTGAATCAGTTTTCATCCTCGGGTGTGTTGGATCATGAGTCACCTTGATACATAATGTGTTCTTCGTGTACGAGTATGTGTTGAATTTTCACATAATTATGTCAGAGAGAAGGCGGAATCGCCATGGGAGAGAGCTCGGCGGAGAAGATGATGTAAAACAAAATTAGGGCTATCGATTTCCCCTTTGTACTTTGTGTTCCGATTCTTGTTTTTTTTTTATATATAATTTAAATTTATAATTCTCCTTAATTGATTAATTTAAAGGGTATTATGGTATTAACAGATTTGAAAATCCTATTTTCCCAAAAAATCTTCTAAAAGTCTTATAGGGACAAATCTAAGTTGAGAGTGTCCTAATTTTCCAATTTTCCCTTAGAAGTATTGGTTTCGCAAATTTAAATACAAACATTAGAATTATGTTTTCTCTATTTTCCGTTGGATAAGCTATGCTCACTTGTGCTGTTACATTAATATTTTGTTAATTTTGGTAAATGGAAATACATCAAATCAATTGCATGTACATCTCTTCCTAAGTTCAGATTAATACGATATGTATCTCAGGCATTTTTAGTATATAGTAGAACCTCTATAAATTAATACTCTATAAATTAATAATCTCTGTAAATTAAAAATTTTTGTTGGTCTCAACTTGGACCGGTTCAAAATTTGACACAAATCGATAAAATAATAAGATAATAATTTTTTTAGAAATTTCTATGTAAATTTATGGTCCCACTAAAATTATAAACTAATAATTTCTATTTATACATATTTTATATAAGTAAAAACCTATTATTATATTATTTGTTTTATATTTACAATGAAATTATCTTTATATTTTCTTGACACTTAATATATTGTTGATGAGATTTAGTAATATTATATCTAAAACCATAGTTAAATTCTATGAAATATATATTATATACACCAATTAATATAAAAAATTTAATTCAAATGTCAAACTTCAAAAAATGATAATAAATATCTATACACTAACATAAAATATCTATTCTATTAAAACAGAGTCATTCTTTTTATCTACTGATACAAATTACCATTTAAATTTGGACCATTTATAGAGTGTTACAAATAATACAAGTTATATAGTTGATTGAACCGCATTACTTAAATTAAACCGGCGGTTATTTATGGAATATAGTTTTGGGTTTACTTTTGTTTTTATGACATTTAATTGTTTGATTTTTGGGCTTAGTATTAAAGAAAAACTCCAAAAAACATTAAATAAACTTTCCACCTTACTGGATCAAAAATCGATTACTATTTTTAGGCCCAAAAATATTTAATATTTTCAACAAAACAAAATTATCTATTATTAATCACTTATTTAAATCATCTATTAAAATAGAGTCATTCTTTTTATCTATTGATACAAGTTGTCATTTAAATTTGGACCTTTTCTAGAGTGTTACAAATAATACAAGTTATATAGTTGATTGAACCGCATTACTTAAATTAAACCGGCGGTTATTTATGGAATATAGTTTTGGGTTTACTTTTGTTTTTATGACATTTAATTGTTTGGTTTTTGGGCTTAATATTAAAGAAAAACTCCAAAAACATTAAATAAACTTTTCACTTTAATGAATCAAAAATCAATTTCTATTTTCAGGCCCAAAAATATTTAATATTTTCAACAAAACAAAATTATCTATTATTAATCACTTATTTAAATCATGTACTTTAAAACATGTTAATATTTTTTAGCCCAAAAATATTTAATATTTTCAAGAAAACAAATTATCTATTATTAATCACTTATTTAAATCATGTACTTTAAAACATGTTATTATTTTTTATTTTAAATAACAATCACTCTATCTTGATAAATTTTAATGGTAACTTTTAAATAATTTATTGTTTTATATTTCTTAAATAATTTACAGATTTAAAAAAAATGTAAAGCAAAACCAAAGACCAAATCTAAAAACTAAAATCCAAAACCAAAAGCTGAAAACGCAGGTTATATTTTTTGATTTTTTTATTTACAAAATAAACTATTTCAAAAATTTTAGAAAATTATTTTGTCATCTTTTCAGTTTTAAATTACATGTTCGATTAATTGAGATTTGTTTATTGGTAATATCAGTTCAAACTAACTCAACGGGTCTAAAAATTAAAAACTCAAACCAAAAGCTGAAAATCAAAAATAGAAACTTAAAAACTAAAAACCAAAAACCAAAATTTAAAACAAAATCTAAAAATACTGAAACTAAAAACTAATGAAAAACAACTATCACCACAAATTTTGGTAAACTAATTTTTTACCAAAACATTCTTTAAATTAAGAAAAAACCCAATTATATAAAGTTTTAATCATAAAAAATTTCCGCGTTTTTCAAGCGCAGATCAAAATCTAGTTTTTTCTTATTTTAGAATAAATATATATTAAAATAAAAAATCTAAATAAGG